TGGCCACAGGCAAGGCAGGGATGATCTCCTACAGCTGCTGTACCCGCCATGGGACTGGGCAACCACATGCAGAGATAGAAGTCTGTCGTTCACTGTTGTAATCACTTCCTGCCCTCCTCCAGGAAACCGAGGGCAGACAGATGCATCACAAAAGTATGTGTTGGGAGGTTGGTGTGATGTTACTGTTGGACTGTTCTGCCTTTGCTCTTCCCCTGCCTCTAGGAGACATCTCCCTCACAATGTTCTAAGACTATAGGCATTAAGGAGGGGGCACCTTTGGGCCCTGCCAGGTGCTCAATTATTGGAAGCCTTTGTGGCCCCAGCCCTGCTCCCCACCCTACCTTCAACTATCTGTCCTGATACCCCGGGAGCCACCCACATGGCCAGGTCAGTCTGGCTCTCAGGATTCATAAAACATCTAATGTGATGAAGGAGGCAGGTATCCTCCTGTTTGTCTTCCAGAGGATGTAGGCTTGTAGTTGTTGCAGGTCTGGGAGGGACTAAGGCTTTGATGGAAAAGGAGCATGTAGCTGCCTTTACCCCTAGCCTTCTCTAAAGGAAAGAACTGTAATTAATTTATTTTGAGTTTTTGTGATATGGTCCATGCACTATGGAAGAGAAATAGAGAGGTAGAGACAGAGAAATCACCCCCTTGTGAGGCTGACTGTGCTGCAAGTCCTTCTTCATGCTCTTCTTGGGATTTGGGCATGCATGCACACGTGTCTGGTGGATTTTCAAACTGCTGGGTCCAGGACTCAAACCATGTAGTAGGCTATGTGGGACCCACCTACTTTAACCTCAACATCACCTGCTGGCCCCCAAAGGGGAGAACTTTTATGAAGAGAAATTCAGGGGCACAGGAGCTAATGGCATAGAGGACCTGCTGGATGTCAGCACTGCGAGGTCCACAGTCAAACACAGTTACAAGTCAGGTACCAGGACCTCTTCCTTTGCTGCCTCCCAGGAGGGGCACACAGTGTGCTGAAGTCTCCAGGGCTCCTCTCCCGGCTGGCAGGCTTCCCTCCTCCTTCTGTGCTTTGTGCTGAGCAGCCACATGGCCTCCTGTGCTGAGCAGTTTCCTCAGCCAGCAAACAGGAAGCAGCTCACCTCAAAGAAGCCAGGAGGGACACCTGGATGTGCTGCATGTCGGTGACTGTGTGCCTCCTTCCATGTGGTCAGGTCAGGAGCCGCGGGTCCTCTGGGCCCTGGAGAGGGAGACAGTAAGCTGGGGAGGGACCCCAGCAGTAGGTGAGAGGTGCAGCAGGTCAAAGTTCACTGCTGGCAGCTAGGGCTCAGGGGCAGGAGTCACAGCACCCCCTGAGCTGGGGGCCCTCTTTGCTTGTGTCAAGGCATCCACCATCTAAACTTCTGCTCACTGTGGTCTTGAAAAGGAGATGAATTGTAGGAGACAGAACAGCTGGGGACTCCAGGCATCTGGGAAGTTCACCTAGAAGTTTGGTGTAAGCAGGAACCCCCCCTTAGCAACATCTGACACCCCCAGCAAACACATATACATGTTGTCCTGTGCAAGACCCATTGCCTGGAAGGAAGGAGGGGAGTTAGGCTCCATTCCCCATCATTTTGTCTCAAAGTGACAAAGGAAGAGAAGATGAGCAGGCCTTTATTCACTCATCAAATGCCAGTGGCACAGCTGTGAGCCAGGTACTGTGTGGCAGAGTGGAGTAGTCCCCAGCCAAGGGGAAGATGGAGACCCCTAAACAAGCAGAAGGGCCAGAGCCTGGTCTGGGGAGGAGGACAGATCCACAGCACCTCCCCTGACCAGTGTTATTCCAGTCAAGGGGAATCACTGGAGAGGCTGGATTGCAGTGGACAGAGCACAGAGTGGAAGAGGTGGCCCTCTGCTCCATCTAATCTGGCTTCACCTCATGGTCACTTGGCTTCTGTCACCACCATCCCTCCACTCTGCAACTGCTCTTGTCCAAAACCTTCATATGGCTGTGATTAATGATCAGTCACTTTTGCTTTTTATCTTTCTCAACTTCATAGCAGCATTCGACAAAGCCGACCACTTCCTCCTTCTGGAGTAACCTCCACTCTTGTCTTCTGTGGCAGCTACCTTTCTACATGCTTCTCTTACCTTCTTGACAGTCCCTTGTCCCATGCAGACTTCTCCCCTCCAGTCCTGGTGGGTCCCACCTTCCCAACCTCCCCTCCACACCCCTCAAACTAGGTCCTGCTGTCCCATAGGCGTGTGTGTGTGCCCATAAGTTCTAGCTTCCTCCTTGAATCTCTCACAGCTCCAACTCAGTACTTTAAAGATCGATCCCTTGATTTTCTCTCCCTAAGCCTCATAGCGCCAATTCTTTCCTAGTTCAGCAAATACCTTTATGACCGCCTGTCCAGTTGCTCGAAGCAGAAATCTGGAAGTGGTCCTCGACTTCTCCCCAGATGAATTAAGTGGCAAGTGCTACCAGCCATCCTTGTGCAGATCCCGAGTCTTATGCCTGCCCTTCTCCACCATCTCCATCCCTGTCCAAGCCATAGCCTCTCTCACCTGGCCTCCCATAGCCTCCTGACTGGCTGCCTTATTCCGTTCTTCATATAGCATGCCGATGATCTTGAAAGCAAATACACAAATGCTCCCTGGCCTGTCATTTTCTCCACTTAAAATGCACCCTGGCTTACATTTGGGGAGCACCATGATATCTGGCCTGCCCCTCCTGGCCCTATCTCCTCCCACTCCCTGGCCTGCTCTCTGTTCCCTGGACACTTGGACACCTTTCCAGCCTCAAGTAAAAAATTAGACATGGAATTCCTTCAATATGGACAGTCTCTTGCTGGCTCCTGGTCACCTACATATAACATACCTCCATAGAAGCCTCCCCTATTGGAATAAGCTCCCCTGCTGCTCTCTCAGTTCTGAATACTCCTTCCCCACATTCCTCACCATCTATACTAAGGTGCTGATTAATTGGTTCACTTGTTTGCTCTCTGTTTCTGTCCCTAGATTGGAAGCTCCCTGAGACCTACCAATGGGTAGCTTGTAGCATCGCAACTCCCTTAAGAAGGGCTTGAGCCATGATAACAGCCCAGAGATGCTAGAGGGAGTGAGACTTGAGGGGAGGGTTTACATTTAGACCTTGGTGATGTTAGGTTTCTAGTTCATACAGTTAGACAGAGTTATACAGACCCAAACACAAGAGAAGGAGCTGCTTGGGAGAGAGAATGGGCCATGTTTTCATAATAAGGATCACAGGGCTTGTGGTGCTTGTGAGATGAGCCTGCCCGTAACATTTGTTAGCCCCAGAAAGTGATCCCTGGAGGGTTCCATCGATATGTCTGAATATGTACACCCTATAAGTGATGCTGGCCAACTATCATAACAAGTGTGTCCTAGTCTCCTACCATTTTTTTTTTTTTGGTTGGTATTGTCAGAGGGCATGTGTGCTTGTCAGAGAGAGAGAGAGAGAGAGAGAGAGAGAGAGGGAGAGAGAGAAGCATCCCCCGACAGGGCATGGTCACATCATAATCCTTTTTCTTCCATCTCTCCATCCTGTCATGACTTTGGCCCGCGTGCATACCTGGCAAAGATTTGAACTGTGATCAGCTGTGCCAGATCACGCTTTCCATGTATGACATTTAACCACTGCACTACAGAGCCCGCTCCTATTCTCCTAGGGTAATTCTCCTACCTTCCACCCTAATAATGGCCTGAAGGTCCAGGTTTCTATTAGGATTCCCAGCCTTTTCTGAATGTAGGTGCTGCAGCCTAGCCCACTCTAGCTTTCAGCACCTCCTCCTCCCTTCCCCACTCTGGCTCCGTATCATGTGTGCACAAGGGTAGGCCCATGGGTGCAAGTCTTGTCCACCCCTTCCTGCCCCTGCCAATAGCAGTCTTGTTCCCCTCACTCCTCAGTCTGGGGCTGCACAGAGCAGCAGCTCAGTGTGACCATGGAGGAGCAGGCCACACTAGTCCTAGAAGCAGAGTATTCTGGGATCCCGGACACCCAGAGTGTGGGAAAAGGGGGTGCATAGGCTCTAGGAAGCACGCCCCTGTGGATTCCTTGTGCTATGGAAAGGGGTACAGCTGGAGGAGGTTGGAGCTGAAGCCAGACCCACTGGACTGTGGGCTGGGTGGTTGATCTGGAGGCCCTGCTACTATGGACATGCAGTGGAGGAGCCTTCGGGCAGTTGGGTTTATGAGGACTGGAGCACAGCGTGGGGCAGGGGTCTGTGGACTCTCAGCGTGGTAGTAAAAGCTGAAGAAGTAGACTGTACACACAGAGAAGAGAATGGTACAGAGGATGTGGCTCCCCCCCCGCCCCT